CATTTGCAATACCTTGTAAGACCAGGGCACCTGACTGTCCATGAAGTAATGTTTTTGCATCTATCAGCAGCTCTGAGGAGAAATTAATTAATGGGGGAAGGTAACAACTGCACGATTGACAAGAAAAGTGCTGAAACTGCCCTGTCAGAACATGGGAAGGAGAATTTTAAAATGGGAGGAAATTTCTGATTTTGCAGTAAAAGGGGAAATTCTTTTGTCCCTGATTTCTCTATCCATGAAATGGGAAGAGAGGTGAATTTTGAAATAGTTTCTGGCAAGAGAAAAAAAAAATGAAATGAATGTTGCCTTAGGAAAGAGAAAACATGTAGAATTTAGAGATGGAGAAAGTTCCTGATGAAGGAAAAAAAAAATAAAGACGGAAAGAGTGAGTAAAGCCCACTCTTTGCCAAAACCAAAAATGAGGTAAAAGGAGAAGGATCCAACACTTCTACATTCTCATGAAGAGGGAAGAGAGTAAATGGAGAAAAGAATAGTGAGCAATTCTCAACCCCAGAGATGGCTGTAATGTCAACATAAAGTAACTGCTCAGCTTCAGGGCCACCAAGTGCTGCTGCACCAAGTTAATCTGATAGGGAGGGAGAAAGAATCCATCAGTTTAAACTCTGAAGAGCATAAAAATCACAAACCTCTACTTACTGGCAGTGAGAAATCAATTATATAGCATTGCTTTGTGTAGTTGCATTACATCTGCATTAAAGACTCCAATTCGGTTGTGCCATGTCTGTGGCTCTTCTGCTGAGTCAAGCTGAGGGATGGAGCTAAGCTTTGAAATGTCAGGAGATGGGTGATTTACTGCTGAGTCCAAGTCAGGAAGCCTGAGAGCAAGTTCAGCGTTCACCACCAAAGTCATGCAGATTCTCCATGCTACTCCTCAAAGTACCCATTTAAATAAATTGAATTAATCTTAGGTTAAGCATGAATTCTAGAATGTCTGAGCCTCATGTTTTTATGGTTGGAGTTAATTCCTTGTGTAGTCAACCACTAAGGCTCAAATGCAGCAGTGGAAGCATTCCTCTCCCCCCACATGAATGTTCCAGGCAGTGCAGGTGGTACAGCTTTTTTTATATGGGGAAGAAAACCTCTTTGAAGTAGATTAGAATTTTTATTTTTGCTGTAGTTTATTAATTTCAACTCCAACACAACCTTGACAAAAAAAAATAACCCAGATGATCAAGTTCTCAATGGGATTTAATTTTGTCCTCCAAAAAGAAGACAATGGATCTCTGCCTTAAGAAAAATCAGATACTATGGAAGGAAGAAAGAGAAACTTGATGGCTATTTTGAGGTATTGCAATCAAAGTATATTCTAAAAATGATAATAATAATATTCAGTTCAATTATACCTAACACCCCCCTCGCCCCCATTCCATACGGGTTAATGGTAATAGAAACACCATTATCCCTTAGGTGGATTAGAAACCACATCATGGCAATGAATTCAACAATACTTGACAGGACCATTTATTATAACAGTTTTATTGTGTAAAAATATGGATGCAGACAGTTATGCATAAGTGTTCCAAATAAAAGCATTGAGTCTCCAAATAGTTGCATGGATACATTAGCAGTGGCACAAAGTTCTGGATAATGAGTATAGTTGCATGCCACAATTCACTTTTTTGATTAAAAATCCAGTTCCACATTCAGCAGCAAGCCAGCCAGATACTTTGAATAAGAAATAAATTCTATCCTTGTGAAAATGACACATCTGCCTTTGTAGAGAAGTAACTGGGGTGGGTGTGTTAAGAGTGGAGTGGGGGAAAGAAGGTTTTCCCATTTTCAATCTTGATTCTAGGCATGCTTATGTGCACATAATCCTACAGAGGTCACTGTATGTCTGGTGAGAAAAACAAACAAATAAACAACAAAATACATCAACTTGCTTTCTTATATTGGATAGATTCTTTGCTATTTTTTGTCAAGACATTCATATCCTTGAATCAAAAGGAGAGCTACCTAGGGCTCATAAATCAGGATTACTAAAATATATCAGAAGATCTGAAGCACTTTTACTGCAAATATTAATGATGCTATGGGCCTCTGGATTGCACTGGAATATGGATGAGCACAAACCATTTAGGAACAAATATTCTTGTTGATAACTGACAGCCAGCCAAAAGCAAGCCCTGATAAAGATAAATAACCTGTACTCAGGGAAATTTTGTGCATCATTAAACATGGTGAGCATATTAGCTAGCAGGGGGTGGAGCTGAATCCCTAAAGAGATAAATCTAAATTATGTGCCGTGCGGTGATCATAAATGTAATGCACCATCTTGGCTAACTAACTGACATCAACAGGGAAGGGAATTTCAGATTTCAATGGATCCAAACTACAGAGCACTGCAGCACGCATACAGATTAACTGGAGCATATTCATGAATTTTTCCGTCTTTTCCTGCTTTTGCTTTCATCCAACACCAAATTCAAAGGACTTAAAATTTTCTTGTCGGTTTCTGTGTCCTCCTCCCCACTGCCAGGCAGGTTGATGAATGACTCTTCAATTTGTTTTCTATTAATCATCCTCAGTTACATTTGCATCAGCTCCCTTTGAAAGAGCCCTACAGGGGATATAGGGTGGGGCTATAAAATGGGAGTTTTCTTTTAAAAACAGATTTAGCTGTGCATTGATACCGTCTTACTCAGTTAAGTTTGAGGATGCTTGCATGATATTCTGCTTAGCTGTAGCAGCCACACTAAAAATTAATAGAGTCTGAAGTTGTCTGCTTCCCACAGTACTTATTAGTGGAAACAGCAACAGCAGCATATTTTTTAATTCTCCCGAAGATACAGAGAGTTTCCTATCCACTGGGAAAAGGGATTTCTTTTACTACCAAGGAGCAATAATTGAGGCTCCCAGGACAGTCAGCTACTATTGCTAGTTAACTTTCACAGAATCATCAGAAAGGCAGCAATTACACAAAGCAAGAAATGGACCCACAGTAGAACCAGGCGGGAAGGGTCTTTTCCAAGGAAGGAAAAATTATACCCAAATTTCTCAAGAACAAGATTCCATTTTATCATTAAAGTAATATTATTGAAAAAAAAATGAAAATGTGGACTTTGCTTCTGTGTCTTTTACTGAGTTTTAACTGAATCCAGAGAAGTTGCCCACCCCTGGAGAGATGATAGTGAAGAAAAATCAATCATGCCCACCCCCTGGACACTGTAATTAATTAGTGCAAGCACATCAAATTCCCTCATGAGCATTTCTTGGAAATCCTCTTTTCTTTGGAAGAATTTCCAAAATAAATTCTCCTTCACCCAAAGGAATGTCAACTGGTAGAAAATAAGATTAATTTCTCTTCTTGGCACTAGGTCAGTTTTGAACTCCAGGATACCAGCTCACTTGTTAGAGAATGAGAACATATGCAGTGGTAAGATAATTGTCATTGAGTCTTGAAGAACCAGATTTGAATCCCTATTCACCCATAAAATTCAATAGATAACTTTTGGCCTAGCCCAGTGTTTCCCAAACTTGACAATTTTAAGGCATGTGGACTTCAACTCCCAGAATTCCACAGCCAGCATTGTTGAAGTCCACATGCCTTAAAATTGTCAAGTTTGGGAAACACTGGCCTAGCCTAATACATTTTCCAGGACTGTGGTGAGGATAAAATGGAGAAGGAAACAATACTGGGTGATTACAATGCAGCATTGCAGGGAAACTCTGCCCATAGCGTGGAGTTTGATTTTGATGGGCTCTAGGTTGACTCTGAGGTCAGTAAAATGGGGACCCAGATTATTGGGGGCAATATGCTGACATATTGCCCAGAGAGTGCTGTAAAGTCTAAGTGCTATTGCTATATTTGCTGCCTTGAATTCTAGCAGCGATATGGGTTTCAACAGCAAAAGTGAATAGTAATTGTTATCCCTGTAGAGTAGATTAAAAATCAATGCCATTTAACTCTAAAACTACTTTTACTAGGAGATTTCCAGGAAAGCAATGGTGGGTTGAAGATAGCTCCAGAGAGTGAAGCCAATGACTATGGTAATAAAAGAACTCAGTGAATGGACCTGTTTCCCAGAACTCCACTCTGGATCAAGAAGTTGACTATGACCAGTGCTTTTTTTGTAAAAAAAAAAAAAAAAAAAAAAGGTGCCGGAACTCACACATGTCATAAAACCCGCCTTGCCTATCCTACAAGGTTCCATCCAAAAAAGGTGCCGGAACTCTGTTCTGGGCATTCTGTGACAAAAAAGGCCCTGACTATGACCACCCACAAGTTTGCTCTGTATAGAGCATACCTGTAAAGAGATTATAAAATAGCAATCTCCTCAGGTTTGACAACATTGGGAGCAGGGAGAAGATCATCCAGTTGTGGTCTGGCACCTTCCAATAAGCACTGGCTTTGCCCACCTTCTTTCTTAACTACTTTAAGAAGTTTCTTATTATTCATGTATTTATTAAATTTATATGTTGCCCATCTCATTATCCACAGTGATTATTGACAGTTATTGATTTTCTGTATACTAAGAACGTTCATCATGCCAGGGGAGATTCCTTTTATCCTGGATGAAACTGTTTCTGTCAGTTTAAAGACTAAAATAAAAACATTTAATGTTTGGAAAATAGCAAAAAAGGGACTAGAACATTGATGTTGCAAAAGGCTGGATGGAGTTGAAAGAGTATTTCCTGTGGGGTGTTTAAAATTTTATGAAAGAATACATAAAGATTTTAAAATTAACTGTAAGAAATCCTCCTCTGGGAAAGTTTTATTGATTGGAAAATAAACATATGGTGAGGGGGAATTTTGAAGGTTGATTAAAGGAAGTCTGAGAGAACTAAGGATACAATTAGAGGAGAAGAGACCCATTAATACAATGGAGTCATATTATTTGACTATAGAAGAAATTAAAGTTGTTTGGGAACAATATATTCAGCAATTACTTACAAGATTGTCTGCTACTATTAAAATGGATTTAACAGAGGATATAAAAGAAAAAAAACAGAGATTACTGGGTAAAATAGAGATTTAGGCTGATTTGAACGTGGATTTGAAAATGGATTTTTTTTTTTAAAAAAAAATGCCAGGCTACAAGAATGAAATGGAAAAAAGATGCTATGGATTTGAAAATGGATTTAAGAATGCCTGACTACAAGAATGATATGGAAAAGTATGCCACAATGGATTTACATATGAATGACCGCTGTCTTAATAACTAAACAGGACACACAAATAATAAATCAGAGTAATGATTTGGAAAGCCTTCTTATCTTGGATTTACAAAGAGGATGTGTTAAACTACTGAAGTTTTTCCTAAAAGAAGACAAATAGAAAATGATAAATCAACTTGTGGGACATCATTTGGTGGGATTAAAGATTACACTTTATAAAAGTCAGTAGAAGAAATATAAACTGAACTTATCTGACCAGAATTAAAATATATGTGTTGTGGTTTCTGGTAGCTATTAATGGAATTTCTTTTTGACCATAACTGAGTGTTGAGGCTTTAAATATCTGTTTATAAATGGAAGAGATTTTCTTTGCTTTACTTTTTAGAGAAAGTGATATGTTGGAATACAAAACCGATTTATTTGACTAAGGGGAGTGTGAAAACTGCAGCCCTTGGATCAGAATATCCCAGAATATCCTATGGAGCCTCACATAAAGAAATGTATTCAGAAATGCAAATTTGAACTTCCTTTTAGTTATGAAAGGGTAAGCTGGTGTTTCTCTAATTCCAGAAAATCATTGAAGAGGGCAACAGGTCCTGGTTTAACATTTCCTTGTTGAAAGCATTATCCTGGAGACTGCCAATCTGAAAGACAAAATTAGCTCCCTGTGAACTTTTCATAGCTTTAATTTTAAGAGAAAAGTATGAACTGTATATCTGTATAAGCAAACTGAATTACAGAGAGTTTAACAACAGTAGAGATCACAAGATCATAAGCAAAACAGATTTCAAGCAAATTCCTCTGCTTTCAAAAAATGAACATCAGGATAAGTCTGAGAATAGCACTATATAAATACAAATTATTTACAAATTACACACACACACACACACACACACACACACACACACACACATATATATATATATATAAACAAACTCTACTTAGTCTACAGAATGTGTTAAGCATCTCCTTGATCCCACCTGCTTGGAGGCAATGTGCCTTATTGGATTTATATCTTGAATGAACATTGTTGTTGTGCAAAATAGGACTCTAAAAGATCATTCAACTTTTATTCTCTTCAAGAACTGTTAAAAACAAAAGGAAATGATAGAATGCAATTTCAGATTTTCCTTTTGTCATGTGAATATAGCCTTCTTCTCAAAGCAGTCTTCCATGCATATGGTAAATCATGGGGAACAAGAGGGGTGCCAGCAGTGGTGGGATTCAGATATATGAACAAGGGGTTCTCTTCTGGAAGTCCATTCTGGGCCTGGGCAACAAAAAATTAGCTACTGGTTTTGCTAAAGTGGAGCGAACTGGCTGAATCCCACCACTGGGTGCCAGACTTTGAAAGTTGGACCCTCTTTTGTGGTTTCCACATGCTTAACAATTCAAATTATCATGGATATTTACAATATATACATTTCCTTCACAATATTGCTCTTTCCATATGGATCTTAGGACTTGTGGAATTTAATATTATCACTACTCATACAGTACAACTTGTGAGGAACAGTTTTAATCATGCCAAATAAGGGAAAAGAGAAAAATAATTTCTTTCAACTTTTTTCCAATGAAGACATTTAACTGTCTTTCTGAATGCATATAAAAAACTATAAAAATTATAGGGTTAATGTTCTCATCATAATATTGCATGCAAAGTAGCGCTTTTCTGCCAGCTTTGTTTCACATTGAAAAGAAGTTTCAATGGAAGTTAATAAATCACGTTGACTTTGACATCCACAGATAGCTAAGAATAAGCATCTGTGCATTTGGTGCTGGAGTAGACAAACATTTATTTGCAAGTTCATTAAGGGCCAAACTGATATTGCTTGCCAGACAATATTTGAATATTTGGCTTAATGTACTTTTCCTTAGAAAAATCCTGCAAGAGAATATTTCTCTGAAACAGTAGCTATTTAGCGACATATTTTGGAAGGGTTTCTAAGTTGAGGAATTCAGTGTTAAATAATAGTGAAAAGCTGACATATCTAATATTAATTTCCATTTAGAGTCAGCTGCATATTAATCTCCATTTAATTACATGCTATAAGCTATGCAAATGCAAAGATCTGAATGTGTGTCAATCAATTTTTTATATAATTATAGGTTCCTAAATTGCTTTAGGTTTTTTTTTTTAGATAAAAAAAATTCTTAATTTCAACCCTCTAATAAAGTAGGTTGATTGCCATTTCTGGTGATAGAAAGATAACTAGATGGTAGGTATTAGACAGACAGAAGGACAGACAGGTAGGTAGGATCTGCAAATTTGAACAAATTTAACAATGGATCTATATTTTCATGTCAGGTGGTAGTGGTTGTCTGTAGAGCAAGGCAATTTAATACAGGCCTTGCCCAACCCTGTGATTCCAGGTCACTGTGGATATGACCTCCATACCCCATCCCAAAGCTACCATATTGTGATTTTTGAGATGAAAAAAAGGAAAATTATTATATATAAGGGGAACCTATATCATGAGTTAACACAAAATAGATGTTTTATTACCTTAAATGTAATAAAATGTAGGTTAAGACTTGTCAAGCCTTGCCCATTGTTTGAAGTGCTATCTCCTGGAATGATGTTCAGAACGAAAGGTGATATATTTTGAATTCCATATGCATGTCAAAAACCCAATGATTGTCTCACTAGCTAAGATAAGCTTTAAACTGTAGATTTTTCTTATAACTTCAGGATATCCCATGCCATCTTGATATTCTGAGGATCACAGAAGCTGTCTACAGAAAAGAAGCCTAGTCAGTTTCTCTCAAACCATCTCTAACAGAGCTTTTGTAGTACCGTATATTCCGGCATATAGGGCAACCCGGAGTATAAGATGACCCCCAACTTTGACACAGAATCGCAAGACGATCGACGCCGAGTCGCATGCCTAAAAAGTCATCTTATACGCCGGAAACTACATTATTTCTGGCGTATAAGACGATTGACGCCGAGTCGCATGCCTAGAAAATCATCTTATACTCTGGAAACTACCATTATTTCTGGCGTATAAGACGACTCTGCGTATAAGATGACCCCCGAGTTCGGCACCTATTTCAACGCTCTCAAAAGTCGTCTTATACGCCGGAATATACGGTATCTACAATTGTGCGAGCAGGCAGAAGATTTTTTTTTGCTTTCAAAAGTGGAGGAATGCTGCTGGCTTGGGGATGATTTCTCTTTAAAATGCCTCTGTGTCTGAGCAATCTGAAGTGGCAAATGTTTCACTGGTCTTTTCATTATTTAACAAGGGAGAAAATAATGCTTTATCATCATTTCAAGAAGTGATAGAGCATTGTAAGCTTTCTGAGGGCTTTCTGGCTTATGTGAGTTGGTCTTGTCCAGTCATGACATATTTTGGTTTCAAGTTATGATATACAGTGTTTAATATAGCTTTGGGAAAATGTAATAGTTAAAAATATGATGCGATGTTATGCTCTTAAAATATGGAATTGATACTTATTAAGAATTCTGGCTGTTATGCCTAGAGCTTGGCAAAGATAAGTATTTTACAGAGTTGGAAAGAAATCTATACTGCTGATATTTAAGAATGGATTCAAGCTATGTGTTATCAATGTCATTTTATTTAAAAATGAAAAGATGGAACAATATCTTGTTTCTAGTTTAGATTTAATAAGAAGATTAAAGATTAAATCCATTTGATGTTATTATAACGTGGTGCCTTGTTTCTCTTTTCCTTTGTTTCTTTTTTCTTCTCCTTAAATTTATTTGATTTTAATAGAGTATTCTACCCTATCAGTGATGTATTATTAATCTTGCTTGGTTGCTATATTCATTAATAGAAATAAATTAAAAAAGAAGTGATGGGGTTGCCTCCATAACTTATCACATCCATTTTGTTTTTTAATCCCCCCACCCCGAATCCCTTTCTCCTATAAATGGCAGACATAAAAATTTTGGCTGCATTGTAATTGGGGCAACAACAACAACAATCACTTCCCGCTCACTGGTATAATATAACTAGAGCGTTGTAGTTCAAAAGTTGTAGAAATGCCTGAAGTCTAAAAGTCCTGACTTTGTAGCTAAGCGTACAGATTCATTGTCAGATATCACCTAATTTTTCTAAAGAAAGAAAGAAAGAAAGAAGGAAAGAAAGAAAGAAAGAAAGAAGAAAGAAAGAATCCAAAAGGATTGGACGGGCTTTTCATAGTTAACTATCTCAGAAGACCTACATCTCCCAAAGCAATTCGACAGAAACGTTGCTGTTCAACTTTAATTTGGACTCTGAAATTCTGCAAAGAGAATCAGCTCCTTTTCCGAAGACCTTATTAACAGACTACAAGCAGGAAGAAAAATCCCACAACATTAAGGTGACTAGAAATCATACAGCATACAGTAAATCATGAGGAAAAAAAATAATTTAACATGCTTTAAAACCAATTATATTTTTAATACATTCATTTCTCAACAAGCTCTCAAGAGGCCTGCTTTCATTCAAGTTCAATAAGTGATTTCAGCAGCAAACACTTCTAATAATTAGTAAATTTAATTAGCAAAAACACTGGCTTTTATTAGTGTATTTTTGAACTATGCACTAGCAAAAGCATATAATTCACCTACCAGTTACATTTACTTTAGTTTTCAGTGAAACCTGACTGGGATATTCAGTGGGTTTAGGAAGTGCCATACAAACATGTTGGCATATAAATGACAAATACATTTTGTTTACTTCTCTTTCTACTCTCTTCTTAGAACTCAAAAGCTGGAGAATGATTTTTTAGTAGAAATAAATTTATTAAGTTTCATGTTACTTAATAAACCATCAATTTTAAAAAAATATCCTGCTCCACAACCTTTAGAGGGAGAAAAATAACATTGGCCTTTGGACAGTTTCCTAGTATGCCTGCTCCAAAAAGTAGTTGACAATATGGCATAAACAAAGTGGGGCAGGAAGAACCACTTAAATTTTTCTTAATTTGAATTTTATACTTAAGTAGAGTTAAATTGCGTTTCATTTCATTATTACAAATTAAATAACACTAATTTAATGTATTAATTTTAAACACATTGTATTACAAATTAGATTCCAGTGGTAAGTTTGGATGCAGCTTGGGAAGTGCATCCAAACTTTCAATCCTCATGTTGTCTACCTTCTCATGGCAGGGCTTTTTTTTGTCATAGAACGCCCAGACTGGCGTTCCGGCACCTTTTTCAGATGGAACCTTGTAGGGTAGGCAAGGCAGGTTGTATGACATGTGGGAGTTCTGTCACCTTTTTTTTTTTTTTTTTTTAGAAAAAAAGCACTGTCTCATGGTATGATCATCCTGGGATTTGGGATCTCAAATAGTGCACTCCTATAAGACTCCTATCAATTATTGCACTGTATTCAGAAAAAAAAGGAAGCAGATGCTTTTGGTAAAAGTGGGAGCCTAGATGTTTTCTGGATAGTTATGATGTAATACAATACGTACAATTTAGTATAGCTCCATAGCTTCTGTGTCTCACTCTCACACTTTAGTTGTGGCATGAGGGTGGCATGCCTTTAATGGCAGCTTTTACTGGTAATAGTATATAATAGGTCATGGGTGCAGCTTAAATAGTTCTCTTCCATGTGTTTATCCCATGAAATGTAACATTCAGGGCAATGAGACCAGAAGTGTCCATTAAAATTGTTTAAAAAAACATGTTGTTTGTTCATTCATTCACTCACTCACTCACTCACTCACTCACTCATTCATTCATTCATTCATTTATCATATGTCACCATCTTACTTAAAGGCTACTTTAGGCAGCTTACAATCAATAAAACACCAATATAAGATATTACAGCATTAAAAGAATAAATAGTAATACTAAAACTGGTTTAAGATGGACAAAGAGGGAAGGGAGGGAGGAAGAAGCACAGGGTGAGGAGGTGGGATCTTATCTCAGTCCATTAACCACCTCCACAATGACATCCCTCCATTGGGCCCTCAGGTTCATATCCAAAATCTGTATTCAATATCATAGGACAATGGGAAACTGAAAAAAATATAGAACAGCATGGTACGATTGAATAGGACAGTGGTGGTGAATCTATGGTACGGGTGCCAGAGGCAGCACTCGGAGCCCTTTCCATGGGCACACGTGCCTTTGCCCAAGCCTTGCTTTCCCCCGTGACCCCCTCACCAGCAGCCCTCCTGGAGAAGAGGTTCCCCCAAGCGTGGCTCATGTGGAGCAGTGCAGCCAAGGACATGGCAGCCAGGCAGCATAGACAAGACTCTGCCTTCATGCCCCATCATGCACAGTTGATAGTGCGAGGCACGGGCAGAGGGCGTGGCTGCCATGGTGCTGCTGGATGATCTTTGGCGGGCCCTGGAGATGGTGAGTGGCCCTGCAGGCAGACGGGGTGGGGGTGGAGCGGGGGTGGGACCAGTTTTTGGGCACTCGGTCTCTAAAAGGTTTGCCATCACTGGAACAGGACAATAAGACTTAACTTACTCCATTTATGCAATGGTATGAAATGTAGAATCCTAACCCTGGCTAAGGTAGATCTATGGCAATAGAGATGAGCTGATTAGGAAGTTGAAACATCCTGAACCATATAAAGAAATGGGGAAAGGGAACTGAAGAATGGTATGTGTTGGGGTTAATATATCTCAATCCTCTGAAACATTTAAATCATTTTATTGCTGCATTGTTTAGCTTTCTATTGCAGTTTCTCATGTTTTAATACCTAACATTTTGTTACAGCTGAAATAATGGCATTTCTTTTTTAAGTCTTGCATTGTAGGTTTCATTGTAAATTGCCCCAAACTCTATCAGGGACAAGGTAGGATATAGAATATTTTAAAGTAAATCAAAGTAGTAAAGAAGGGCTGCAGCTTAGGACATGGATGAATTTTGATTTACAGTGGAGAAATGAATAAAGAAGAATATTTGTAGCTCAGGGTTGACATGAGGGGTCCTTGATACTCTCTGAGCTTGCTCGTTTTTTTGCAGACGTTGTATTACCCAAACTAGCTAACATCATCAGTGATAGTAAGGAGTGCTGTTTGCTGTTTGTTTATAGTTTGGTGGCTTGCCCTGTCAGCATCAGTGGGGGTGGTCTTAGAGATTTTTTAGTTGAAAGAATTGAAAGGGATCTTGGACCTCCAGTCCAGGAGTGTCAAACTGCCAGCCCATGGGTCGGATGCGTCACGGGGAAACTGCGCCCACCCCATTGCCAGCAATGGGGAAAAAGATCTGATACATTGCGCGACATCACGTGATGTTGCAAGTTTGACATGTCTGTTCTAGTCCAATCCCTGCTCAAGAATACCACCTAATGTAAGCTACATCATTCAAAACCATACAGCATGCTCAGTATTTGGTCATATTCCTTATCACATTTAATATTCTAAAGAAAAGATGAAGTCTGAATTCTAGAAAGTGCCTCATCTCTGATGAGCTAATCAAAATCCCAAGCACTTGAGTATAATATTTGGTTGGCTTTTTGAAGTAAATAAGGTTTCTCAATGACTAGCAACACTGGCAGTTAATTTTGAAAAATGTAGAGCTATAGACTTTAATTTTTATATTAACCTGTATTATTCATATGAGCAAATAGGAACATTTCCCTAATTCACTTAGAATAAGAATAATTACACACACTCTCACACACCATAAGTATTTTAATGCGTTCCCAAAATTTGTATGATATTATTATGCTGCAGTAAGAGCTTTCTTATTAAGCACTGATATCAACTTTGCTACTGGTGCCAAAAGGAAGAGAAGTTCTTCCAATCTAAGAAGTTTTCTTTCTTTCTTTCTTTTTAACCAACAAAACAAAGCAAAGCAAAACATAACACACATACACACACAGTATATATCCTCCCCTTTTTTTAACAGCGATTACATAACCGTAATCTTCTATTATTTACATTACCCCCCCTTATTCTTCTTTAGAATATTTGTCCTTATTGCCCCGTTGTTTCTTATTTACATTTTTCTTCCTTCATATTCTATTTCTTACTAAGAATAATTCATATTATTATTATTATTATTATTATTATCATTATACATTATTATACACATATTTTCACTTTTGACCTTTCCATATTTATTCTCCTCTATTATTTCTAGTCTCTATTATTTCTAGTCTTTTCACTTCAGCTAATTCTTACTGAATCGGAACATAATTCTTATTTTAACTTCCCCAAAAAAGGATCATAAAAAATGAAGTAAAAAACAAAGAAACAAACAAACAACAAAAACAAAAACAACAACCTGGGTAACTGCAAGAGTTTGTAATTTGATTATAGGAGTAGATTTGCCAATATAAAATCATCTACAGATGCCGGCAATTCTACTTGATTTAAGTTATTTTCTTAGGAAAAAAAAATGCTTATATAACCTGGTGCACCAGGAAGTTGACTCACTTCAAATGTTCTTAAATCTTTCCCTGTTAATGGTTTTTATAAACTTACTTGTTCATTATTGCTTCCTACCTTTTCTGAGTAATCAGATCTGGCTATTTGTCAATCCCACACAACTCCAATTTGGCTTGCTGGCTTTCCTGCCTCCCCCATCCTTTCCATGCTTCGCCAGGGCAATATATTTACCTGTGCAGAAGATTTCTCTGTCTTCCACTGGGCCATTATGGCTGAAGTGAAGCTTGTTTGTTTCCTTAGCCTTAGCTTTTGCCTCTCCAGGCTTACTTCAGACTCTTCCAGTGTCACCATTTCAAACAAAGTCAAGGTGATTAATGTTGCCTAGTTGATGAGTTTACAGTTCTGGGTCTTTCAAAGATCAACTTCCATGCAGATGGTATTCTTTTCTTTTTCTTTTTTCTAAAGCAAAACTAGGAGTCTGTTGAGTGACTTGCATGGTTGGCTGATGCCACTTTTAAATTTAATGCAGTGTTATTCCCTGCTGTACTTCTGGCTTTATAATTAAGGGAAGCAATGGTAGCTGCTTCAGAAGCAGACAAGAGTACTCTCTGTCTTAGTTAATTGGCAGCTCTTTGGTGGTTCTCCTGGAAAAAAATATGGTTTGTGCTAAACTGTTCTTTATAACAGCTGCTTCGTTTTTGCACATGGAATTCTAAAAAAATACAAGTTTGGGCCATTGAAGCCGTTAGAGCATGGTTTGGCTGAGATTATATTTGAAAATTCTGTCTGATTCTGCAATTTCATTTAAAAGGACTTGTGAAAGCAATATTGTGCAGATGCATTGAAGTTATTAAGAGAAAAAAAAGAAGGTTGGGGAAATCTTATATGTTATGCAATACTTTAGCATATAATCTTGGAAAGAGGATGGCAACTTCTACTACTTTGACCTATCCAGCATTTTACAATTTGATTTCTCGCCAGTTTCAATTTCCTTTCTTTCTTTCTTTTTTTCAAAAACATGATTTCTGAGTGCATGAGATGATTTTAAAATAACCTGCTCATGTAAGAATAATGGAAGGTGACTTCAGATAGAGAAACATTGGACTATATATTGAAAGAATAGTATTATGTTTCACTGTTCTCTTCAGAAAAAAAATGATTGTGCAAAATAATAATGCAGCCCTTTATACTCAGCATTTCACTGTGATTATTTCTTTTATTTTGCCAAGTGCTCATTGATTCAGCTGGGTACAATCCAGTCAAGGAGAAGGATTTGCAAGGTCCTACAGAGTTCATTAGGAGTGATTTACACAGATCACTTTCATGATAAAATTGATAGGACTTAAATATCCTTCATTCTGGCAGGATAATGAGATATGTATTTCTAATGAGTAAAATAATTGAATGGAAAATGGAAAATTATGATACGCTCTTTTTGGTTCTGACATTAGTGGCAAAATAACCACTTTGGGAAATGCAATCCAATATATGTACTCAGTAGTTAGATCCACTGACTTCAATAAATTATCAGCAGGAAAGTGGATCTAGACTTACAGCAATGTCACATGATGGAATTAAATACAATCATATCTCACTCAGCCAGACTTAGCAATACTAACTCTAGATGTATTCTCTAAATATATTATGTCTGAGAATTGTCAAATATGGCAATAGAGCAGAATTCCACTTTGCCACAAGACAAGGCAGTGCTCTGAAGGTAATAAAATAGAGAGCTACTGTTTTCATGATCTTGAAAGTTTCAAACTATCATATAATGCTGGTAATTCTCTGTGGAAAGACCCAAGAAAAAGACTTTATTGTCATAGTGTTCTGAATGTGAATCTAGTTGCTGACTTTGTCACAATCCTTAGTTTTGTCCTCCAATTTGTCATTTACTATACAGTTTGTAGAGTGCAGATTTTTGTTCTTTGTGTTACATTTTATTGTGCCTATTCTTCTTATTGGAACTTTGCCTGAAGACGTCAATATATGAAGGGCTGATGCAGAAATATTCTAGATAACAAGAAAAAAAGGAAGAATATTTGGTTTGCTAATTGTACAAATTGCACTGATTTTACTTAATATGTCTGGTTTTTTTAAATGCAATTTTTATCTATTATTACATATCTGAAAATCTGTTTCCTCAAGCTACTATTTGCTCTCTTTCTCTCTCTTGCTCTGTGTGCATATGTGTGTGAGAGAAGAAATTCTTCATTAGTGTCAAACTCCTTATAATTTGCTCCTTAGAGTATGATTTATCACTATGTCTCATCCTTAAAAGCTAATCTAGACATGGGGTGAAAGATCCCTTAATAGGATTTCTGCATTTTATGTAAAGTGTTAATTGCAGCTATGTGCAAATTTATAGCAGAGGATAGCATCAAAATTGGACAATTGTATTAGGGGTTGGGGCTATATTCTTTTCCCTATTTTTAAAAATACCTCTTCTATGAAAATGGGACAAATAGAAACTTTGGATACTATTGATGGGAAGAGCTATGCTTCTGGGAAATAATAAGGCTATTTCCTTACCATCTCCAGTGCCAATTTGCCTATCTGCTATGACTAAGATTATGATTTTTTAATGAATTATAATTCACAAATCTCTTATGTCTCCTTTAATTTATGCTAAAGGAAATAAAGGAACATTCAGAAATATCCTGTTTATTTTAAGATCATTTCTACCCCTTTCTACTTCCCAACTGAATTGAACTGAAAATAACAAAATAGAAATCTTAATGTTATTTAACAATTGTTATGTAGCAAAATAAAACTAGCAGTGTCACATAAAAGGTAAATATCTCTCTGATCAGGTTGTAGAATATCTGAGTTGACGTACATGAACAGTTCCAGGTACTCTTAAATTACCTCATTGAATTTACAGTTTTAATTGAGTGTCTTATATTTAAGTTAAATGAGTTAATTATGTTTGACAAAAGTCTTCTAGTCTCTTGGGACAGGACCTGAATTGGAAAATGCAAACAATCATGACAAAGGCTTTAATATTGTTTATTGATTTGTACAGAGGTTCAATGTTTTAGAATTTACATAAACTGTAAAAGATGAAGTTCGCAGTACAGTATTATAAACTTGTAACAAGAACTGATTTAGCTGGAGAGCTGAATTAATTCACCCTTTCAGAGCTAAGGGAATGGGAGGTCTTTATTTCATGAGGTCATCATATCACATCTGGGTCTGATTTACTAGACAATGCAGTAATTTAATTATATCCATCACAGAGTTCATGTTTGGTCAGATTAAAAATGAAATGAATTAAATATAGGGGCTTTTTTCCCCAATGAAGAATTTCTGTGCTCCAGGTAGAAGTAACTTTTATAGAAAAAGTGAACCTTGTGAAAATTTAGATGATTTCACAATGTTGCCATGTTCTTGGCCCATCATCCATTTATTTGGTAAACCAGTATAGTGGCAGGAGCTATGCAGAGTCACATGTTGAAATATTTAAAGTGTCATAGAATCCATGGCCTAATGGTTAAAGTTAGAAATCTGAACACATCTCTTGACATTTGGATCCTTATATTGTCCTATCTCTTCATTGGTCCATGGTAAAAATGTTTAGTTAAATACGTCAGTTTGGAATAATAGGGATTAAATACATAAGACATAATATAGATTTTGATCCAATCCACATTTTCATGTGCAAGGTTTTGCCATTCTTAAACAGCACTCTCAAAATATCTTATTTAAGCAGCTTACAAAGATGGGACAAATGTAATTAAGACTTACAGCTTGAGTAGTATACAAAGACATTTTAGTAACAGTGAAATGAAAGCAAATGCACATTTCTATTTCTAAAGTCTATTACTTCTACCCTTACTTCTGAAAACCAAAGAATAGAATATCTCAAGTTTAAAAAAGGAACTCTATTCAATTATTACACACAAAAGAGAAAAACTGTCTTCAGAGTATAAGGTTAAAGAATACATATTAAAAATTTATTTTAGAATTCCATGGAAAAATTTACACTTCAGGGCATGACTTTTCCCTCATTACTCCTTAAAGATTAGCCCATAAAATCAAGGTAATTGTGTGCCATAGACAACCAGAGTAAACAACTTGTGTGCAGTATTTGTCCATGGCTTCTGCAAAGCAGACAATTGGAGCCAATAAAGAAAATCATGTGCTACTCGGAAGACAAAGAATGAAATAATCCACAAGATCACTAGACAGTTTGAATAAGATAAAATTTCTTTCTGACTTCAGATGGATGAAAAATAACGTCACAGTGTACTTCAGCACAGTAACACCCTAGTAGCTTTTATAAGATAATACATATGTCTTGTTATTTTTAAGGAAATATTGATGTCTAAATAGTGCTGTTGGCTTCATTACATTTGGCCAATATATTTTTTTTATAAACCAGGTTTCTTCAAAACTCAAAACTCATGACTCATAAATAGTGGCCAAGCATTTTGTCAACTGGATGAATATAGTTTGGTGTTCTGCAGTTGCCAAGAAAATTCTCAATAGCATACTTGAATGCTCTCTGGGTGATTTTTCTCTAGCCCTACTAACAGATCTTCAAACGGCTTATCATTGATGATATGTCTGATCTCTGGACCAACAAAAATGCCTTTCTTAATTTTGGTATCAGTTACTCTTGGAAATATCTGTCTCAAATAGCAAAAACCTTCAATTTCCTTGCTCATCATGTTCACTCTAATGTTTCATCACTCTGAGTTTTATATGAAGTGAAGAAAAAGTATCTTTATTGGATCAATAAGTGGTTCAAATGCCACATTTTTCTGTCCTGGAAACTGTCCTATTTTCATATGTTCCATTCACATATGCAGCAAAGCCAACAGGTACTAAATGGTGTACATTGCCATTTTGTAAAAACAGATTATTATAAAATGGTATGTGATAGGTTAAATTAAAGGTTATTTTTATGATTAGCAGCCAAAAATATATAAGATATACCCAAAAGTATTCAAGAAACAAAATCTTTGTTGACCAGTGTAATCAGGAAAGTTTGCCCTCAGATGGATGATTCATCATGTGAATGATCTTTTCAGATCATATTTTTGAATGTTTTATTCTTTTTAATTATTTTATTATTTAGAATTGTAAGCTGCCCAAAATTACTTTGTTGAATTGGTGGCTACATAAATTGAACAAATAAATATTGTAACTGACAATCAGTATTTTAATGCATTAATATATTTCATTCCTGATTTTTATATTATCATTACTTTCACACCTTATTTTATGAACCTCCAATGTTTCAATAAATGGACTGTCTAATTTTCATCACGTGTCCTATCATAAGTATATTTCACTCTTTTTCTAAGATTTAAGGAAAGAAGAAGCATGAACATTTGCATTTAAATCATAATTATTTTCTGAGACATATGACATTTTTAAAGAAATGTTTGTGCAAAGAATTGAGTCAGAAAATTGGTACAATATCCAGTGGATAAGTGCACTCCAATCTAGACATTCAACTGAAAGATATAAATTAAGTCAGTTCCTCAGAATCTTTACTTCACTGTGTTGGAGTTTGGTAGGATTACTCTCTCTCTCTCTCTCTCTCTCTCTCTCTCTCTCTCTCTCTCTCTCTCTCTCTCTCACACACACACACACACACACACACACACACACACACACACACACACACACACACACGAATTTCTTAGGAATGATTCCCTCTCCATATTTTTCCATATTGTCTTCTAACTTCCATAAAAGTAGTGCCTTTCTTGTCTTAGTGTATTGGCGAAAACCCATGATGTTTGTTCTGGGGACATAAAATAGCTTCACCTAAACTATAGCAGGCATTGTCTTCTGATAATAAACATAAAACTGATCCCTTGTCTTCTCACTGCTCTGACCTTTTGTCCCTGCTCTGGTTGGCTTCTGTTCCTCTGTCATGCTGATGTGGTTTAACCTACTGTAGTGATAAAAGTAAATTATGAAGGATTTCATTACAAAGGATTGGCTGTTTTTATTCAGTAACAGGGCTGAGCACAGAGACAGAGCTAGTAAATTCTTTTTGCTTAAGCTGAGATGCTTATAGGTCTCAAATGAAAGTGAAATGTTTCCTTTTATCTCTGGGAAAAATAGCATGCAAGAAAGAAAACAAAAGTAGTCTCTTTTTTTCCTCCTTCACACATATAAAAAATGTGTTGAAGGATCTGTAGCACATCTAATTACTAGGGATTTTGATGAGTAGGGCACTTTTGTACACAGTTGGGGTGCTTGTTTTATCTCATACTGTGATCTCTCTTTGTGAAGTATTAAAGGGCAATTTTTGCAAGCAAGATCGATTAACCTGTTCGTGTTTGCTCTGATTTAAGGGCTATAATAAGCTCTTCTGTTACTTTGAAGCTACCATTCTCTTTAAAATGTCATAATTTGTCACATCATTCTCTTGAATGGAAGTCTTGACAATCATATTGTTAGTAAACTATAAAGTTTTAATAGTCATATTTTCATTACTGCTCTTGCCAGCATTCTTATTTTGACATGACTGGATTTTCAGTCTATGGGACTGCATTTTGCCTGTATTCTCCTCATATGTTACTGCTTACTTTTATGCTGTACTTTCCTTTGCCTCATCCACTCCATTGTTCCTTATAGGGATGGGAATTGTGATAATTGTGATTATCATTACATCACTACTTTTCATTCATATAAGTGATTGTGAAGATGGGAGGGTAGAAGATACTTGGCTTTGATTTCAATGATATCCATACATATTTTTCTTTAAGATAAAAATTTTACTTTTTTTACAATTATATTCTTCTTAGATTTTTATGAAAGGATTTCTTCTCAACTTTTCAATTGAAAAAAAAATCACTAGCTTGAAATCTTTTGGTGCAATATTGCAGCTTCTTAGATCTGTTTCTTATCAAATTTGAAATAACATAAGCTACATATTCTAAATAATAGCAGTAATGAACAATTATGTCAACATATCTTACAGAACTATCTTAACATGAAGTTGGAAGTCTCCATTTGCAGTAGTGAGCAAGTATGACTGGCCTTGTATGATGCTTCCCCTATCACCAGTAGTACCCCCCCCCCAGTACTTCTTTTCTCCTACACATAACAAATCCTCTAATAATTCTGGCATAACTTATTCCTCTTTTCAGGTTTTTTCAAACTGGGAATTTTCAATCTCATAAAAAGCTACTTTTTAAAAAGTGGAGTTTAGAAGAACTGTACCTGTATAGGTTGGGTGTGCTTGTTTCTTTTCACCTCCCCCCCCCCCCCGACAAAAAACCCCATTTTATTAATTATATGAGAGGCCTGAAAGGCAGGAGAGGTAAGAAAGGAAGATATACAGGTATTAGAAAAGACTCTTACCAGGTTCATTTCTGAGCCAGGAATAAAGGTGGTTGCTTGAATCAGGGGTGAGAGCCCAGTGAGCAAAATGTAGCTATTAGAGGTGGCCACAAATTTGAATTTCTCTCAGTAGTTTCTTATATAGAAATGTATTGCCTTTGTTCCTTGAAAACATGCAACACTTCAGCCTCTAGGAATTTACAGGGCCAGTCATAAAGGACTCAAATGTTTATACACCAATGCACAGACTATGAACAGCAAACAGGGTGAACTAGAAATTCAGGTTAATGAGGGCAGATATGATATTGCTGCCAATACAGAAACATGGTGGGATGAAATCCACACATGGAACACACAGCTAGAGGAATTTAAATTATTTAAAAGTAACAGACCAAATAAAAGAGGAGGTGGAGTTGCTCTCTATATAAAAAATAACTACATCTCTACAGAAATAGAGCACAACCATGATAAAAATTGTCTTGAATGCATTTGCATCAATATAAAAGGGGAAAAAATGACATTGCCATAGGTGTACACTACAGGCCATCCAACCAAACAGAGGAAATAGATGAACGTTTTGCTAGTCAGCTAACTAAGGTATGTAGGAAGCACATCACAATAGTAATGGGGGACTTTAACTACCCTGACATCAACTGGGAGGCAAACTCTGTACCAAGTGGAAGATCAAACAGGTTCCTGGCAAACCTAGCAGACAACTTTGTCTCCCAAAAAGTAGAGAAGGGAACTAGGGGATTAGCCATTTTGGATCTAATTCTCCCTGCGCCCGGTCCTTCTACTGCATTGGCCATATGCGGTGAGCCCTGGGAATTAGATGAAATGATAGAAGGTGTTGAAGCCATAGGAACCCTGGGAGGAAGTGATCATGCAGTATTGGAATTCAACATTATGGAAGCACAAGTAATAGAACACAGTCAAACTAGAGTCTTGGACTTCAAGAAAGCTAATTTCAAGAAACTTAGAGAGGGCTTGGAAAGGATTCCATGGATGAGAATCCTCAAGAGGAAAACAACTCAAGAAGCTTGGGAAATTTTGAAAAATGAGATAATAAAAGCCCAGTCTAGCACAATACCAACAAAGAGGAAAAATAACAGCTCTCAAAAGAAACCAGCATGGCTGCATAAAGAACTCTCTGACAAATTGAAAGATAAAAAAGACAAGTATAGAAAGTGGAAAGAGGGGCACATAACTAAGTCAGAATATCAGCAAATAGCCCGAGCCTGCAAAGATGAAGTGAGGAAAGCTAAGGCTCAAAATGAACTAAGGCTTGCAATCAAAGTAAAAAATAACAAAAAAAAGCTTCTTTCAACATGTAAAAAACAAGAAAAAAAGTGAAGGAAATGATTGGTCCATTAGTGGGTGAAAGTGGCAAGAAGTTGACAAGCAACAGGGAGAAAGCAGAACTATTTAACTCGTTTTTTGATCTGTCTTTACACAAAGAGAAAAAACAGACCAACCTATCAAAAATAGTGCCATAAAAAACAGAATAGAAATACAAGTTAAGATAGGCAAGAAAATGGTAAGTGAGCATTTGTCCAGCCTAGATGAGTTCAAATCGCCAGGACCAGATGGTTTACACCCCAAGGTTCTCAAGGAACTGGCAGATGTGATCTCAGAACCACTGAATTATATTTTTCAAAGATCCTGGAACACAGGGGAACTACCAGAGGACTGGAAAAGAGCTGATGTAGTTCCCATCTTCAAAAAAGGAAAAAAAATGGACCCAGGACATTACAGACCTATCAGCCTGACCTCAATACCTGGAAGATCCTGGAAAAGATATCAAACAACGAATCAGCAAACACCTAGAGGCAAACAAAGTCATTACTAAAAGCCAACATGGGTTTGTCCAAAATAGATCATGCCAGACAAATCTTATTGCATTCTTTGACCAAGTGACAAAATTAGTGGATCAGAGGAATGCTGTGGACATAATTTACTTGGACTTCAGTAAGGCATTTGATAAAGTAGATCACAACCTAATACTTGACAAGATAGAAAAATGTGGGGTAGACAGCATCACCACCAAATGGATCCATAGCTGGCTGACCGGCCGTACTCAGCGTGTGGTCCTCAATGGAACCGCATCTACATGGAGGGAAGTCTGTAGTGGGTGCCCCAGGGCTCTGTTCTGGGCCCAGTGCTCTTCAACATCTTCATCAATGTTTTGGACGAGGGGATAGATGGGGAACTGATCAAATATGCAGACGACACCAAGCTGGCAGGAATAGCCAACACTCCAGAAGACAGGCTTAAGATAGAGAAGGATCTGGACAAATTTGAACACTGGGCACTATCTAACAAAATGAAATTCAGTGGTGAAAAAAACAAGGTTCTACATTTAGGCAAGAAAAACCAAATGCACAGGTATAGTATAGGGAGTACCTTGCTCAATAGTAGTAACTGTGAGGCGGACCTCGGAGCCCTAATGGACAATCACCTAAAGATGAGCCAGCAGTGTGCTACAGCTGCCAAAAAGGCCAACACAGTGCTAGGCTGCATTAACAGAGGTATAGAATCAAGATCATGTGAAGTGTTAATACCACTTTACAATGCCTTGGTAAGGCCACACTTGGAATACTGCATCTAGCGATGTAAAAAAGATATTGAGACTCTAGAAAGAGTATGAAGAAGAGCAACAAAGATGATTAGGGGACTGAAAGCTAAAGCATATAAAGAACGGCTGCTGGAATTAGGTATTCTAGTTTAATGAAGAGAAGGACGAGGGGGGACATGATAGCAGTGTTCCAATATCTCAGGGGCTGCCACAAAGAAGAGGGAGTCAAGCTATTTTCCAAAGCACCTGAAGGCAGGACAAGAAGCAACGGGTGGAAACTAACCAAAGAGAGAAGCAACCTAGAACTAAGAGAAACTTCCTGCAGTTAGAATGAACCAGTGGAACAACCTGCCTCCCAGAAGCGGTTTTTTTAGTTTTTAAGAAGAGATTGGACAGCCATTTTTCTGAGGTATAGGGTTTCCTGCCTGAGCAGGGAGTTTGACTAGATGACCTCCAAGGTCCCTTCCAACTTTATTATTATTATTATTCTTATTATTATTATTATTATTATTATTATTATTATTATTATTATTATTAATCATAGCACAGTCAGCCAGGTGTTCAAACTGGATTTGGCATTTGTCTACCTATCGAGTCCTTCCCCAGGACCTGGGATAGGCAGATGTGGATGTTTGATGGTATTACAGATATCGTCGCAGGATGGAAGCAGTTCCTAATAAGGCCGCCTTTTGCAATTGACTAATAGCGAATTTGTCAATGCCAATGGTGTTCAAGTGGTGCTCCAGTTGTTTTGGGATTGCACCCAAGGAGCCTATGACTATGGGTACTATCCTTGCTTGCTTTTGCCACAGTCTTTCTATTTCTATTTGTAGGTCTTTGTATTTTGTTATCTTCTCCAGTTCTTTCTCTTCTATTCTGCTATCTCCAGGCACTGCCACGTCCACTATCCAGACTTTTTTGTCTTTCTTATCGACAATTGTTAAGTCTGGGGTGTTATGTTGCAGGTTCTTGTCTTTTTGAATTCTGAAGTCCCAGAGCAGTTTAATTTTATCATTTTCTATGACTTTCTCTATTTTATGATCCCACCAGTTTTTGCTTCCAGGCAAATGATATTTTTTGCAGATATTCCAATACACCATTGTTGCTACTTTGTCATGCCGCTGCTTGTAATCAGTCTGTGCAATCTTCTTGCAACAGCTTACCAAGTGGTCCACTGTTTCTTCAGCTTCTTTGCAGAGGCGGCACTTACTGTCTGTTGCTGTCTTCTCAATTTTGACTTTGTATGCATTTGTCCTTAAGGCTTGGTCTTGTGCAGCCAGAATTAGTCACTCAGTCTCTTTCTTCAATTTTCCTGCTCTTAGCCATTGCCAGGTCTTGTTAACATCTGCTTTCCCAGCTATTTTTTTAATGTATTGGCCATGTAGTGCTTTGTCTTCCCATGCCTCTATTCTGTTCTTCATTTGGTCTTTCTTGTAGGCCAGTTTGGTCTCTCCAGTCGTTAGTAAGCCTTCCTGATATACTAATTTCAGTGCATCTTCATCATTGTTCTCCAGATATTCTTCCAAAGTCATTTTTTCTTCTTCAACCATCTGATGTACTTGTAGCATTCCACGCCCACCTATTTGCCTTGGTAGATAAAGTCTATCAATGTCACTGCGTGGATGAAGGGCATGATTCCTTGTCATTATTTTTCTGGTCTGCCTATCCATTGCTTTTAGTTCTGCTTGAGTCCAGTCCACTATTCCAGCTGTGTACCTAATAACTGGGATTGCCCAGGTGTTGATTGCCTTTATGGTATTTCCTCCATTGAGTTTGGACTTTAAGATCTTCTTCACTCTCTTGATGTATTCACCTCTAATCTTTTTCTTGACTTCAGTGTGCTTGATATTGTCAGCTTGAAGGATACCCAAATATTTGTAGTCCTCTTCCTCATCCAGACTCTTAATGTTATTTTCGTGGGGCATCTTGATTCCTTCAGTTTTCACTATTTTTCCTTGTTTGATAGTAAGTGTGGCACATTTGTCAAGCCAAACTCCATTGCAATATCTTGGCTATATATACTACGTGACAGCGTTGAGCAGCGATTCTATTTCCACCTCCCCGCACGTGATGTTTTTCCATACAGCTTCAGATTCATCCATGTAAAGGAATTAGGTGGGATAGTCTAGCAGATGTTTTTGATGTTTGATAGCCATGTCCTGAGTTATTCAGTATTGTTGACAGAGGAAACAGTGCAATAACAAATAGTAATGGTGATAATGAATCTCCTTGAAATATTCCTCTCTGGATATTAACCTCTCCCAGCCTCTCACCATTGATCTGCAACTGTGTCTTCCATTGTGCCATCGATCTTTGCACAAATTTTCTGATGTTTCTACTGACTCCTGTTATTTCTAGGCACTTTATTATCCAATCATGTGGCAGAGACTCAAATGCCTTTTTGTAGTCAATCCATGCCACATTCAGGTTGGTCTTCCTTCTCTTGCAGTTTTCCAAGATCATTTTGTCTATGAGGAGTTGATCTTTGGTTCCTCTGCTATTGGGGCGGTTTCCTTTCTGCTCAGGGGGAAAGAGATTGTTTTCAACTAGATGCTGTTGTACTGCATCAGCTATCACACCAGTTAGTAATTTGAAAGTTGTTGGTAAG